TTCGGCCTGTTCAGCCGCCTCAGCAAGTCCTTCAAACTGGAGATTGTCGTGGAAATCTCGGGCTAACTCGGCCATTTTGTCTGACCTTTTTTCGTAGACCGGTGGGTCTGTTCCGGGTACTTGGAGGCAAAATGTTGTATCTCGAGGTTTCCGTTCTTTATTCACGGAGGTCCAATATTTTGTTGCAGTAGACTCGCCCTCTAGTCGGTTTCTTGCAGCACAGTTATCTCTGATCTTTATGAAACGGGTCTTTTCCATGGAGTCGACCTTTGCTTGGAGATCGGCACTTTCGGTACGTCTCTCCTCCTCTCCCATTAGAGGGTTATTTAGAGTTTTTTTCATTGTTTCCTTTAGTTTACGGATATCCTTGTCCATTTTCGGCACCAATACCTTGTCTCTTTCACGAAAAAGGTTCGTTATTTCGTCTTTAAAGGACTTCCATATTGTCTGAGGGTTTTCTTCTGCAGTGCGGTTATCATTGGTTGTTTCGAGGCGAGCTTCCAATTCCTTGCCTAGGGCGTAGACACGTTCCATTACTTCCTTGTCTTTAAGAAGGCGGAGTGGCAGAACCCAGCGTCCCTTGCCAATGAAAGGCATTTTTGGGTCAGAGTACTTCATCGACAACAGTTGATGATCTGTGTGGATTCCTGGGGACTCAATGGTCCAGTCGAAGGAGTTCTTCAGTACGTTTTCTGTGACTAATATTCTGTCGATCCTCGACTGAGATCCGGTAGCATTCTGAAGGAATGTATACCCCTTGACATCAGGGAAGGTCTGTCTCCAACCGTCCTGGAGGTTGAGCTTTGATTTGAATTTTAACATTGCTTCTGTTACAGCATGCCCATCTTTATGATGAGGTAGTCTATCAATGGCGTCTTCCACCATGTTAAAGTCACCCAACACGAAGTCCGGTTTATGGAGTCGGCGTAGCTTGACCTCGAGTCGATCAAGGAAGCGTGCATTTTCGGCCGGGTCGTTAGGGGCATATACTGCGACCGCGGTTAGTTTGGATTCCCCATGCCATGGGATGGTCATATGCAGGGCTCGACCTGGTATAAGTTCTTCTACCTTAATGCCCTCTATATTTGAGATTTCTCTGTTGACGACAAATGCCACACCCTTAGATTGCGGGCTTGCCGGATCTATACTGGCATATACCTGTAATCGCTTCCCAAAGAGCTTGTGTACATCGTCGACGTCGGCGGGTGAAAGGTGAGTCTCTTGTAGTGCAAGGATCCCGATTTTGCGGTCTCTCGTAATCTGGTTGATATAGAGCCATTTATCTTGCCCTTGATGGAACCGGCCCCGCATGTTCAGCGTCGAGATTTTAATGTGTCCTTTGGTGTGCTTCCTTATTTTCTTCTGATGTTTCGGACGTTGACTATGTGCATTCAACCTTATTTGATTCTGGTTGTTCAATAGCCTTCTTTCGTGTTGCGACCTCGGCTGTGGTTGGGCTCTTCTTTGTGAGAGTCCTCTCAGACGCTCCGGGACGTGGTCATGATTGAAGATACCTCCGTGTAACGGGAAAATAATCGGAGCGTTCTGCTCTTGTGGGTGGTGGTTCCCGGAATCGTCATTGTGACTAGCTCTCGCTGAAGGCGAGAAAGGCCTATCCGCCTCCTGTGGGATCTGCGAGGATGCAGATTGTGCCATATGCACTGCGGCATGTACGCCACCTTCATTGTTTGCACCGTGAAGTTCATGCTGACGGGTGTCAGCCGCCAAGTCTTGACTGTCGCCTGTCCGCCCGAAGCCTTCATCGGGGGGGTTATCGGCGACGGAACCACTCCCCCCTCCGGCTCGGACGGTTGTGTTGCCGCAGTCGAGCTGTGGAACAAGAAGGGGGGTTAAAATGTGAGTAGTAGGAGTTAGTTTCTTTAATTCCGGGGGCACAACCAGACCCTTCGGAACGAGTAAGCAGTCCGACCTACAGCGGTGAAATATGTTGGAGGGGATCTCAAATCACGTCCGCCGGGATGCCATTGCAGGCGCGGCTCGTGTCTCCCCGTCCAACTTCAGCCTCTCGGCACGGCACTTCCAAGCCACGAACAGCCGCCGTTTGAATCCATTTCACACGTCCGAGACCTTTCCTGTCCCTTGTCGAAACAAGGTCAGTAAATTTGGGGTCTCCGTTGACGTTGAGCTTAATATTATCTACCACTCCAGATTCTCATCTAGAGGCGCTACTGATCCCTATCAGCAGCTGGTAAACGGCTCACGTATCCTGCTTCACTCGAACACTGTGTTCGAGGGTGTTTTCATTGTCCTGATCATCCCTCAGCGGTCGCCGGGCGCTTACTAAGCCAGCTGCTGTATTCACTCGTACGGTGATTTTGTCTCGTAGTTCATGGCGGGGAGAGAAATATCGAAGAAGTTCCAAGAGTCTTGCGATGTCGCACTAAATTTGATTATTTCAATGTGTCCACGAGAAAATCTTGTCGGGGCATTTGAAAGAAATGAGAGCATAGTATTTCAAAATTGGAGTACAGAAGTGGAGTACAACGCGACTAGTTACGACGGCGAGAGTTACGGTTACCGCTGCGGTGTCCATTTCCGCCGGTCCGAGGGCCCTTTCCACCCTTTGACTTCTTGTTGTCGTTGCGCTCGTTGCGTTCGTCGGCCTTGCTGAGGGTCTTGTCGTCAGCGGACACTGACTGGAGTGGGGCCCCGAACCATCCGACAAGGCGCGGGAGGGGGCAGAGGCCAGTTGGGTGGTCGTATCCCTTGCAGCCAATGCAGAACAGCTGGTCGCGTCCGACGCGGGGTACACCGGTACCATGACGTGCAGTGTCGTACGTGAGTTTTCGTGCCGAGGAAGTCCATTCCAGGAGGCGGAAGAAGTCGATGGATTTAGGGGGGGTGAAGTAGATGTTCCACACGAGGTCGGACTCGCCGCCCGGGAGGGCAATCTCCAGCGGCTTGGCCTCAATAGTATCGAGGGCGCTTTCGGCGTCTTTATCACCGGCGGCCGAGTGCTTGATAAGGAATTCAGACGCCTCCTTGAGCGACTTGAGTTTGTCGGTGACGATGCGCGCCACGAACTTGCAGGCCTCGTGATCGGCGCCGGTGCAGAGGTTCTGCAGGGTCATGATGTAGCGGGGAAGGGGGATGTCGGGCCCGAAGACGTAGAAGGTGATGGTTGGGGTGGACCACCAGCCCTGGTCGGTGAGCTTCTTGAGAGCGTCAGCGGCAATGTCGGTGACGAGGAAGTTCCACGGGGCCGGGAGGCGCTCCTCGAGCTCCTCGCGCGCGGTAGGGGGGCTGATGATGACTCTGGGGGTGTCGACGAGCTTAGGGATGACATACGCCAGTTTGGACACAACGTCACGAGCGTTGGCCACGTACTTTGCGCGGTAGACGCGCACAAAGCCTTTGGGACCCTTCTCCGCTCCCCAGTCCGCACGGTTGCGGTCAGTGGTGTTTCGCAGCGGGGACTCGACACACTCGGGGCGCGGGAAACCACCGGTGGGAGGGGCGGTGTATTGCTGGCCGTTCGTCATTTGGATAACACCGGCAGTCGTACGCACTGTTAAAGCGGATACGCGTTAGCTGGGTTCAGCTGGACTGTATGATTGAGTCCACTTACTTCCTGCAGTAGCGTCCTCGGAAGTATCCATTCTGGTAAAACGAAGGGCAGAGAGGGGGTTGCAAGTGGGAGCGGGAGTGGGAGTGGCAGCGGGGCTGGGAGCGGTGGACGCGGGGTCTATAGGTGGAAGAGGCCGGTCTGGGGACTCGGAGCGTACGCGTTTACTGGGGTCGTCGTCCTCAGATGTGGGAGAAGCTTTGCGCTTTTTGTCGCGCGAGTCGGTTTCGATGTGGGTCGACAGTGTGGAGAATACCTTTCTGGAGAGTCGAGTCTGTATTTAAAGGGGCATATTAGCCGAGGAACAAGGGTCTTTGTGCAGCAGACGCACCGGGGATAGCCTCTCTACATGACTACCTTTGGTTGTTTGAGAAACCGCGCTTTGTTCGCTTTGTACGCTTTGTGTCGAAAGCGGCGGATCGGCGCCGTCAGGTCGGGCCGGGGAAGTCCGTTGCCACTGGGGAGTGAAGAGATGGAGAGCGTCGGTGGAAGACGGTCGACGGTCGATAGTGGTGCGCGACAAGTGGATGAAGGTGGTGAAGACGCGAGCAGTGACGTCGCAGTCTGTGATCTCTCCCACGAATGCCGTTTCGGCACGGACTTCGAGACAGGGGCCCGAAAATCTTTCCAGGTCGTTTGGACGACGTCGAGCCCTACTGGTATGTAGATTTACTTGGTTGTACTCGATAGTGAGTGTCTCAGTATGAGAAGAATAGCTCCAGGGTTTTAATCTGGGCTACCGGGCGCCACTGTGTACCAGTGGCACCCTACCTTTGTGGTGGTAAAGGTCCAAGAAGCTCCCCGAGATTAGTGAGGACATAAAGAAACAGCATCAGATTAACTTGGCTCAACTTGCTGAGCTCAATACTCCAGGTGGAAAAATAGGAGAGGTGGTGCAGAATTCATTCGAAGGTGGTTCAGAGGAAGAAGACATTGGGTTGGTTGCAGTGCCCACTTGAACAATCACTTATGTAAGAACCCTGTTTGTTTCGATATCTATGTAAATGTATTTCCCTTGTTACAAGTTTCAAAATTTAGTTTCAGACTCCCTATCCTGCAGTTGTATCAGTTTCTCATACAGCCTGATGGTCTAACGGTAGCATCCGCAACACAATACCCGGATTTGTTCACCATTCCTGCAGAGGTCCTTGTTCAACCCGAGGTCTGGCCGTCTGGCCATGCCGGTTGAACCAACACTTTTGATTTCACAATGATTCCACACTGACTCCCCATCCCGCAGTTGTACCAGTTTATCGCATGGCGGGGTGGTGTAATGGTGGCATCCACAATACAACAATACTTAGACTGCTTCATTGTTGCTGTGGAGGTCCTTGTTCGACTTAAGAAAATACAACCTTTTTATGCGGAATGGGTTTTAATTATTATCATTGTTTGGAGTGCCCGTTGCAATCATGGCTGACTGGTGCAGTTGGTAGTGCCCGTGGTTCCCTTAGAAGTGATTGATCTTGACACCACGGAGTCTTTGTTCAATTCAAGGTTCAGCCCTCCAAGGGGATTAATGTGCTTTTAATTCTGTAACATTGGTGGGATAGGTATTATTGCCGTGGAGTCCTTGTTCGATTCAAGGTTCGGCCATGCCACAGGCAAATGTGTGCTTTTTATTTCTTGTTGGTCTGCTTCCCATGCCATCTGTAAGTGATTAGATTAGATTCAACAAACAGGGGAATTCAATGAAAGATAACTCACTTGAAAATATTGCTTCCCTCATATGCCGGCAGTTTCTAAAAATTCTTGGGTGCATAACTATGCATTTCCTGTGGGATTCATCATTATTTGTTTTTTCCCCCGCCAGCCGTAGTCGCAAACACAGTCTAAGTGAAAAATAATTGTGTGTGCTCAATGTCCAGGTTCGAATTGAAAACACTGTATATTGTGGTCCTTTTCTGATTTCCGATGCCCTCAGAAAAAGACCCTGTTTGTGCCCGCTGCTCACCGGCCACTTACAATCATTGTCTTCCTTTGGTGAACATCTACTTATGGTAGGAGGTCACATGCGGCTAGGATTTCATCCTGATTGAAAATTGCCATCATAGCAAGGGAACATGCAATAGGTAATGTTAATCATGGAGAACTACCCAGACATGCACATTATGGTGAAGTACTGGGGTAACGCTGCGGGTTGCGGCATTCACGGTGTTCAGAAAACCAGTCACCGCACCCGCACCCGTGACACCCGTACCCATAATACCGCGGGTTCACCAAAACCCGTGCCTTTCACTAAGTAAGATTGATTACACGGTGACATTAGGTATGTCTTGCAGTAAATCTATCTCTAGTGCAAGGCATTGTCACACACTTGTCTTTCCCAGGCAATGCACTGGTTGGGAGATTCAAAATTTTCAGCACAATTTAGGGTGAAAAAAAAGCGAAATTCAAGATGAAAAACTTGAAACAAAATTCATAAGAGTTCATGCTAAATTTTCACCATAAATTCCAGTATTTTTTCAGACATTTTTCACTGGAAAAGTACCTGAAAAATTCAAACATTTTTCACCACTATTTCAAGTGAAATTTAAGGTGAAAAACTTGAAACAAAATTCATAAGCTTTTTTACCACAATTTTCAGTGGGAAAATCCATGAAAAATGGCTGAAAAATGTTCAAAGAAAGGTGGTGGAAAACTTGAAACCTGGTTTCACTTTTTTTAGACAGTTTTCATCTTCTTTTTCACTGTGATTGTTGGTGAGAAATGTGATGGAAAATACAGGTTTTTTTCACCATCTTTTGCACGGTATATATAGGTGAAAAAGTTAAAGCAGTTCTCAGAAATTTTTCGCCTGGAATGGAGGTGAAAAACTTGAAGTATGAATTTAAGTTTTCCAGTGGAAAATTTGAAACCTCCATTTCAAGTTTTCCACCACAAATTCACTAGTTTTTCAGCTGAAAACGCTGGTGAAAAACTTGAAACCGGGCTCAAAACTGACATGTTGAATTGAAGAATTACATAAGGAAAGGAGGGTAGAAGGTGGAAGAGAGGAGAATCACATGAACTGTTTTGCCAGCTTGTGTGCTTTTAGAGCTGTGTGTACCCTGGAGTGGCACAAGGGATGGTGCCAGCAGGGGGGATTCTGGGAAATTTGATCAAATTTGATTGGGTCAGATCTTTGTATGATTGCCCCCGCTTGCACACAGGAGTCGTGAGAGGACATCCTGAGGAGTCAACTGCACCATCACCGAGACCTACAAGCTTATTTAGCATGAACTCTTATGAATTTTGTTTCAAGTTTTTCATCTTGAATTTCGCTTAGAATTGAGGTGGAAAATGTTGAAATTTTTCACCCTCTTTTTCACTGAAAAATGTCTGAAAACCCAACAACATTTTTCACCGTAAATTGTGCTGAAAAATCTGAATCTCCCAACCAGTGATGATGCCAAGGCCTTGTGATACTAAGATGTTGAAATATCAAAGAGTTTATTGCCTTTTTCAGATTGTTTGGTCATCTGATTTGCTTTCAATTTGTGGACCCCGCAAATGACAGGCAAATGATGGGCATATTTTATATTTGCACACCCCACAAATAAGAAGCAAATGCTTGGCAATTAATGAATTTGCTTACAATTTGCATATAATTTGCGGGGCCTGCAAATGGTGGCTTGCACTCAGTGTTAGTACCAAGGAGCCTGCTATCTTCATTCTTTTTTCCAGCCTGAGGAGATTGAACCACTGAATGAAAATAAGTAACACCGGGGGCAACGACCCACGCACATGGAAATCATGTGCGATAAACGCACTTGCGTCGCAGATGTGCCACACATGTGGTGCACAAAGAAAAAGACAAGGTGCTTTGTCTAATTTTCTTTGTGCAGCGCATCTCCCGCGCATGTGCGACGGATGTGTGTTTATCGCACATAGGTTCTATGTGCCTGGATTGTTGCCCGTAGTGTAAGTGAACTTTGCCATCAGCACGGCACCAGACACCGAGAAGCAGAGCTTAAAACACTTCAGACAAACAGACATGCATAATTTTATAAAGAGAGAGACACTTTCTTGAGCACTATCTGTGTCCTCTGCCGGTACAGCTCACCCTTCCATTAAATAAATAGATTTCAAACAAACGACTGGGAAAGGAACAAGATACACAGCAGGCATACATAAATACACAATGGGATAGGACTGCATATCATGGTTCAAAACTCAGGCTGCAATCAATTCCACCTGTTCTTTGTCAAACTCAAGCTCTTCAGCATTAGAAGAATCCTCATCCACTTCCTCCACCTTCCCCACAGGAGTGTTGAGCTCTGCCAAGCGAGCCAAGTTCTTTCGGTGCTGCTCTTTCACCTCCTCACTGATACAACCAACCCTCTGGTCCATGTCCTGAACCTGTTTGGCCTGCGATGAGCGCTCGAAGAGTGGTTGTGCTGTTTTCCACAGTTCCAAGGCCTGTAACACATCCCCATTCTTCTTGGCAATGTCCCCCAGCTGGATCATGCATTCTGCTCTGCTGCGGTGGACATCCATACAGGTAAATCCCTCCAAGGCAACGGTGAACAGGTTGACAGCGTTGACTTCGTCATTCTCCATGAGGTGGACATCTCCAATGAATTGCAAAGCCTTGTGGATTCCTAGTTTATTCTTTGATTTGAGAGAGTATGCAAGTAAGACTGTACTCCATGAGGAATCGTGATGTGCACCCCAGCGAGTGACATCTGCCAGTCTCTCCAGGCAGTAAATCACTACCTCAGACCACTCAGAGTTGAGGCACTTGCAAAACAGCGAGCATGACATGTCCCCCTCTCTGAGATTGAGGTCAGCCTGAATGGTGTCGGAAGCAATTAAGAGGGTTTTATGCCCAGTCTTCTGAAAGATGGCCTGTGATGCATCAATTTTCTTTTGGACCACATCATATGAAACTCCCATTAGGACCTCAACTGCAGCAATATTCATCAGGGTGAAACCTTTGTAAGATAGCTCCGCCCCTTCGTAGTTCTGTAGGAGTTGCTTATAGATTATACAAGCCTTGTCATACTCTGATTTAACTGCATGGACTGCTGCCTGACAGTTCATAAGGGCATAGTTCATGTCCCCCTGGGACAGACCACACAGCTCCAAAAGGGCACTGGCCCTCGTGGCTAGAAAAATGCATTCACGATGATTACCCAAAGCTTGGTGGCACAAGGCTTCACTGTATAGTCCTCGTGCCTCTCCTTGCAAATTTCCAGAGATATTTGCAAGTCTCTGCATCTCCTGTGCATAGGCCTGCCCAGCGACATAATCACCAGTAGACCATTTCGTATGTGAAAGGCCGAAAAGCGCATTGCATTGTCTTCCGATGTTTCCATGTGACTTTGCCGAGGAGAGGCCCATTTGATAATGTTTCAGAGCTGTGGAAATGTCAACCTCTGAATAATAGTGTCCTAGAGCAATGTAAAATTTGGCTATCAGATCTCTGTCAGTGCTCATTATGGTTACACAGAGAAAGTAAACATACATTTCAGATCAGGATCACTAAAATTGTTGAAGTGCTCGAAAGCCTGAGCAATCATTGTTTCCGGATGTGAGATTGAATAAGACTTTTGTGAACTAAATAGGCCAGTTATAAAATATGCCTTTACATGATGATCCCCTGTGTGTGGCAGGAGGGAAACCACCTCATCCATCAGAGGTATCATGCTTTTGCTAATAGCTCCACTGAATAGATTGAAATCAGATGCGTAGGAGATGCTATCTGCTAGATCAGGGTGCCCCGGCTGTAACCCATTTTGGATGATATTCAGGATATTTGTGTAATTTGAGGTCAGTCGTTCAATGCAGAGGGCTGCAGATTGTTTTCCTGCATCCACTATAAACAGTTTGAGAAGTTCTTGGAAGTGTTTGAAAAGTGGTCCAATCATTTTATCTGTTGGGGGGAAAAATCTTTTCATGTATTCTCTGATTGGTACTAGAGCTTTCAGCCGTTTATAGTCATCAGTGTAAGCCAGAGCAGTGCGAAGCAAAGCCCTTTTACAATCAAGGACATTCTGGATTGCAAAGTTGCTTTGCTTGAGTTCTGCATCCGAAAGCCCGTCTGGGAGGATCGACAGCAAACTCAAAAGTTCCTGGGAGTGAGGCACAGATGTGATTCTGGGACTCGCAAGAGAAAGCGAGATGGATAAGTCGAGATTGGATCTTCGGTCATAACCCTCTGAGATGACTGAGGTCTGCTTTTTCTGCCAGCGCGACAAAATCTCAGTACAGCCTTCCACATCCACCAAGTGTGCAAGAAGGTTGATCGAGAGTGGCATATTGTCTGTTAGGGCCAGGACTTGGTCCATTGCCTCCATTGAGTGTCTATCTTCTGCGATATCAATGAACATCTTTCGGGCGGCCTCTTGTGACAAGGGGGGCAGAGGGAGTAAGAAGGGGCGTGTCCACTGCACTTTGGAGGGTCTTTCTGTTCCTCGCATTGTGATCTTGGACTTTATGAGTAAATGTGGACAAGAAAAAAGAAGGAAGTACACACCATCAATGGTAGACTGGCTATATCTGTAAGCAGTGAGAGGAACTCC